ATTTCCCTAGCATGCCTGTGCATAAGTCACCCAGCATGCACTGTATCAGTATCTACACTAAAACATGATCTAGCATTACACAACTTTCAATTCAGGTACAGAATGACAAAGCTGTGTGTTATTTCAGAAGTTAATTATTTCTCTTTCTTGTTGGATCATGCTTCTAGATCATCTTTAGACCAAGGGCATTGTTAAGACAAATGGCTTATACTTGCATTAAACAAACTGCCTTTCCTATAAGGAAATGGGCAATCTCAAAAGCAATGAGGAAACAGAGTGAGTGGTGGGCTAAGGCAGGATCCAGGCCCTATGTCTGTAGAAGGATTTCCAGGCTAATTGAGATTTTTCCATATTGAGCCAGTAAGATCGGATGCAGATATACAAAAAACACAACTTGAACTTTTCACCCACGTGCTTGTAAAGGCATATCCACACAGATGCAGACTGACATAGGTTTCAGCTAGACTAGGCTAAAGCCATCTTGTTTGGAGGCTGTACAGGGATATGTACTCATGCAGTGGCATTTTCAACCTCATCCTGATTCTCAGGAAATAAAAGCATCAGTCTGTCTACAGACAGCCTGGACACAGGATCTTAGATTTATCTTAGGATCAGAGGGCACTAGTCACTGAAGAAACCAAAGGACCTACAAGTCTTTTGAAATCAGTTTCACCCACGTGAGCCGTTGACAGTGGAACATCAAGAAGAGATCGGTGCCAACACCCTCCATCTGGACAAGAGCAGGAAGAAAGAATTACTGAGTCTTTTTAAAGGGTATACAGATACTAATACAGATGTCTTTTGGCAATAGACTAAGAAACACTGAATTACAGAAAAGCCTACCATTTACAACAATTCAATAGATAATCAAAGCCTTCAGAAAGAGCAGATGAGGTCATCAGTACTTCTGTATGTCCTTCAGTCTTTAATAATCTCCAGGGCCTATAGTTTTTCTTTGTCCTGTTTACTGCAGTACTACCTATACTGTTATTCTATATCAATTTTTTATTTTTTCTAATACTAGGTAGGACACTGAGGCCTAGTAAAGAGAATTATTTTTAATGACCATTCAAGCCACTAGAATAGCAATCAAGCTTCAGACTCTGTAAGCAAAACCAGGCTCTTGAACATCCCAAAATATCCCCATTGATAGCACCAAAAAGGCAGTAACTGCACTTCTGCAATATGAGGACATCACAGGACAACAGCCATTCTGCAGTGGTCCTGGTTAACTGCCCGCAACTACTACACAATTTCTATTAAAATCCAGGCATCCCACATATTTCTAGGCTATTTTTCTTTCAAGTTCTTGGGGCAAAACTGACATGTTTAATTCCTTACTACAGACTTCAACAGCAGGTATACATCTTGCGATCTATACAAGTCATTAGTAAGGATTAGGCTGCTTGTGTTACTAACACAACTAAGTAGTGTCCTACATTGTCCTTAAGACATCTAGTTTCTATACTCAGACAAATAATTTATCATACTATGTTGGTTGTATGTACCTAGAAAACCCAATGTAAATATTTTTTTGTATAAGTATGTAAAGGTTGGAGGTGAGCAATTTCTAAGGTTTAAAATAATCTGTTGATTTACTGGTTGATTTAGCTGTTACACAGAACTATTTTTTCAAGCACTAAGGAAGAGAACTGGGCTTTTTCCAACAAATTCATGCTTCTCCAATAGTAGATGAACTGCTCTTGATATTTAAGATCTGAGAGAAAAATTCTATTACCTCGTCTGCTAAAAGAACATCCTGGTTAGAAAAACAGAATAACCCTGTTATTAAAAGCATTGATGCCAATCTAGGTCATTTTGACAGAATTTGGCTAGGAATCAAGTATACATGCCAGCAAACCTCAGCTGCAACTTCTGGTAGTAAGGTGGTAATGAGTAGTTGAGCACAGTAAATTTCTAATCCAGCAGAGCTACAGCCACACTAACCATAGCCTTAGAATTAAGTTCTTAATCCTCTTATTACCTTGAGCTATTTGTCTGTGCAACTTTCTTCTGCTAGAGCAAAACAAATGTTTTACTATCACACTTAGTTTCAACACTGCATATCTGTACTTCATTTGCATTTATTGTTGGTCTTATACAACACATCAACCTATGAAGGGCCACAAACTTCATATTTCCTATTTTCCATGTATAGTTTCCATTTAATTCTTTGTGAACTTTTTTTAAGGGGTTGTGCTCATCTCCGGGCATACAGACTGTGTCCATACTGAGAACTACAATCTTTACTTCTCAGCTTTCATTAAAACAGCTTGAAAGAAAGGCAATATCACAAAGTACCCAATGCACAATAGCCATGTATCTGAAATGAAGGACTCTAAGTAACAACTGAAATTGACAGGGGCATACATCATGCAGATAAACACAACAGAAAGACATTCTACTAAGTAAGGTACATTTCAAATCCACCTATGTGTTTATGTGCCTTCAATGGGAACGTGAAGGACCTCCTGTAATATTTCCAGCAGCATTCATAATTAACTCCTGATCAGTCTTTCTCCCTAGAACCAAGTTATATTCTGTGTCACTCTTTTTGGCAATACTGGTTTAGTCACCAAGCCAGAACTAAAAGTTTACAAAGGCATTACACAGATTTTGCGTATTTCCTTCATTAGATAAAGTTTGTCAAAGCTAGCAATTGGTTTAAGGAATGTAGATTATTTTTTCTCCAAGTAAAAAACAAAAAAAAAAAGAAAAACACAAACCCAATATTGCCACCTTTTAGTAAGGTGCTTAAATGTATTTGTTTTCAAGCATTTTTCCCCATACACATTTTGCTCACATCCACCATCATTTCTGCCACTGCATAAATTGTCAAACTTACACATAGTACATACTTAAAATGATTGTGTAGGGGGTAAAACTCAAGTACTTTGTGGATACACCATTCTGTCAAATTAAAACCAAACATAATTTTAACACATTTCATTTCCTGCTCTTAACTAAGGTTATACTTGGGTGATAAGCAAGTGACAGCAGGACAGAGTAATGGGTAGTGTGAAAAAGGGCACTGATGATGTTGAAAACTTTCAAGGTCACCATATGCTATGCTGCACCAGCAAAACAGCATTTTGAAGTCAGGGATTGTTCATGTATCTTGCAGGTCAGGCTTAAAACTCACACTTTTGGGAGGGAAGGAAGGTTGCTTAGACAAGTAAAAGGGGGAGTGGTAAGGCTAATTGCATTTCAAGCCACAACTCTTCAGGAAATGATCCACATCATTCCCCATTCCTGTGGGTTTACTATTATGATCCAAGAATATTCACAGAGTTAGCACCCTGAGATGATTTGGCAAATGCTTTTCTGCTTATGCCAGCTATTGTTCTAGTAACAGACAATTTCCAGGGGCTCCGATTAGCTAAAGTTGAAAAAAAAAAAACACAGAAGAGCAGCATTAGTGAAATCCTTATTAAATTACAGCTTTTCATGTTTAGTAACGAGATAGATTATAGGCCTAAAGGATTTATGGGATGTGAATGAAAAGTCACTTCACAGCTAGGAGAAGGCAGGTGAACAAAAAAGATGACTAAAGATCTAAGAAGCTAGATGAGCAATGCCCTAAATGCTAAACAGGGAGGCCAGTGAAACCCAGAAAGAATTCTGAACTGTAGCTATTAGACTCTCATGGAAACCATTAGTTGTGTTTTTATTAAATCAGGGGAAGCCCTAGGTAAGCATATTAAAGAGGAGTCAGAGGAGTGGCTCTGAATATAAGCAATTTCTAAATGTGATAGATGCTAAAGAAAATGGTATTATCAAATACCACAGGCTGAACTTCAGATAAACATCGTAAGGATTTTGTTTCCACTTGTAATTGCAATGGTATTCAGGCTTACTCTAATTAGTCAATTTTTCCTAATTTCTTTTAACTATTGCTATCAAACTACCCAGCTTATTATGACCCACAAAACATCCCAGATCTAAATAACTGCTTAAACAGCTCCCATGCAGTTCACTGGGTACATACAGTCAAACTTTTCTTCCACAGGAAGCAGGCATCAGTAATTCCCCTTCCATTAGTCCAGGGTTCTCTTTCTCTCTCCAAAGAGCAGTAGCAAACTATTCCCATATTAAAACAGACAGACAGCCTATCCTTCCTAGGACAGCGTTTCTTCTATATGCAAGGAACTACTATACAATGAAGCCTAATACAGCTTTTTTTTTTTTTCAGAAATGCTGATCTCATTAAACCTGAAGCAAAGCTACATGGAATCTTCATGCTGTAACTAAACAAAATAAATCTAAAACGTCTAGAATTGAGAAATATACGGCTATTGCTGCAGCAGTCTTTACCTAATCTCTACTTAAAACACAGTTACCAAAAAGTTGCAAGTGACTTCAAATAGCATTGCTTTTAACAGTATTTAATTCCAGTAACCCATGATCAAGCTTCCTCAATGTTCATACTGAAGTTATGTCCTAATCGCTACTTCCATAAGACTCCTAGCCAGATTATCTTTCAGGGAAAGCGCTAAGGTCACTGACTGTATGTTGGGTCTTATCTGATCATTTGCCTTCACCACCCTATGATTATTTTATGCTATGCCCTGTAATTATTTTCTGGTATTCTCCACCTGCGTTTCTATTCCCAGATTTTGTAAAATATTAAATAAACAGTTCTTGTCACTGTGTAAATAGAGCAGCTGACCGGAACAAATGACCTGCAAGATACTTTCCACTATTCCAAGTAAACATGTGTCACTTGAAATTTTAATATTAAAAATAACTGAGAAAAACAAATATATGCAGTTTACAAACTGACCAGTTTCCTTACAGAGGACTTAGTTACACCTCAAAAACTCACAGCTAATGGAAAATTTTAAAGACTGTCTCCACATCAGTCAGAAAATACATGAACATAAACAGGGTTTTATAATCACAAAAGTCAGTAAAACCAAAGTTCCTAGACAAGACAAAACAAGTCAAGTCAATAAAGTGAACTGAAGAACAACATAAGTCTAGTACTTCCTTTAAAAAAGGGCTTTTAATATAAATCTGAATACAAAAATAACCACAACACCCGAGTCATCTCAAATCTTCAAGGTTTTCTGTTATCACTTCCCTGACAATTTGGCAAGTGCTTGTTTTCTCTGTTCTGCAGTCATATACTCACAAGCTTCCAAAATATTTACTATAATTAAAGTCTGTTGAACTGTTTTTGCTTTTACCCATATTCTTCCATTCATTCCCAACACCAGCTCGAATGGGTACAATTGTGACAACTCCTGAATTATTTCACATTTGGGAGCCAGGAGTCTGTAAACAAGATTTAAAAAGTCAGAGGAAGTAGTAAGTGGTAGCAGTAGTAGTAATGCATTTGATAGACACCGCATTATTATCAATAACTAAACCACAGTACTGGTGTTGTGGGAGCTATTAAGGCAACACCAAAAGCTAAGATGACCAAGTTGCATATGCATCCAAGATAGCAATACAGTAACAGATTTTTAATTATCCTCTCACACACAATATATGCACCTAAAAAAATATAGCACTTGTGAATTTAGTAGTTTTCTAATTAGATTCAGAAATAACACCTGACAAATTTAAAACAAACTGATACTTTAATAATAATTCTATAATTTAATAAATTCTAAAACTACACTGCTTGACAAAGCAACATTTCTAAAGTGCTGCTATTTATAAATTTGACACCAGAGTTAAGATGTCTTTCAAAACACAGCTTCCCTTCTCCAGGAGACAATATTAACAGCAGTAAACCTAGCATATTGTTTTTATTAGGTGACAGCATATTGAAAAATAAAAGTGCCCAGCATATTGTAACACATCAAGGATTAAATCAAGCTTCAACAGGCTTTCTCAAAGAAAAACATATCAGGATTGAGCAGTTTACTGGTAATGTACTGTTACTTCTTTACTTGCATACAGGCAAAATCTGGAAAACAAGCAGAACAGCTGCAAAAATATTTTCGTATCTGTTCACACTGACTTCTGATGGGACATGTAAACCAGACAAATCACTACTTAAACCCAGGTATAAAACAGCTGCTCTGCACCTCCGGATTGCTTTTCCGAAGAAAAGCAAAAACAAAAACCCCCACCCAAAATCAACAAAGTTTGACTACTATTTATCCATATAAGCTGGTATTCTTTTATAGTCACAAAAATCTGTGTAAGTAACTCCAAAGTTTACAATACTTTTAAAAGCTTACAAAATGGTTCCTGGATTAACATGTCAGTTTTAAATGAAAACCCCACAATTTATCTGTATCCTTATTTCAAAGCAATTTATTCTTTGGAAGTCAGAAAATAATTAGTATTGATGTGGAAAGACCCTTTTAATCAGCTGCCATCAAATTTACACCCCTTACTATCCCATTGAGCAGAAAAAGCACATTAAGCATTTCCAATTTTTAGAGTCCAAGGTAGTAGGTACATACCAAAATCCCAGCCTGAATGTCTCATTTCTTCAGGTCAATGGTTTTGTTCTCCATACTGCCTTGGCAACCACATCACTTTTTTTAAACAGGTCATATACCACCATCTAGAAGAGCATCTAAACCTCTTAAGGGTGAAAAATACATGCTCCTTCTAGGTCAATATCCATACTCTATTCAGTGAAACTGATATAAATGCACTAAAACATTTACACACTCCGATTACCAAATTGTCCAGAGGAAACAGTTATGCAAATCCTACCCACCGTATTCCACATTAGAGTGACTACTTTTCTTAGTACTTACTTTCTTATTAGACCTAAGGAAACTTTAAATAGGAAGCCATCTTGTCCAATCATTCCCATTCCACTTGATCTTCCACTGCTGTCTATACAGACCATCTCTGGTTCCATGTCTTTATTTGCTACAAGGAACTGACCATAAATAAGATCTCCCACCTAAACAAAGTAGTGTCAAAATGCAAAAGTATTAGAGAAGATCATAATGTACATTTGCAAGAAATACTCAGTTGATAAACAATAGGTTTAAAACATTGGCAATAGAAAAATAAACTGGTCGAACACAAATTTTCGTTTTCTCTTCTTCTACTAAAGAAAACACCTGCTAGGAACAATTATCTATCATTCCTGGAATTTGAAAGATACAATAAAAGTATAAAATTTCATGGGGTATTCATGGAGCGACCTCTTTTCTTTTTTAAATACCAAACATGAATCCCTCTTTCTTCAGACTTTAAGGGTGTTAAAAGTCTAGGCAACCTGCTTATGTAATCAATCATTGATCAGGACAACAACAAAAAATCATGGTAATCTATTTCGCTTTTCTTTACAGTCAATTTTTACATTCTGGTGATGATATGATACTTCATTTAAATGCAGAAGCTGTGGCATGCATGTGCACGCAGCTATTTATAACAGTGTTATTAAAAACCCAGTATCAGATGGTGTAAAAGCTTGTTTTACAATCTTAACTTCATAGTGCCCCCCTGGATGCACATTCCTCTTGAACTGCATCTACTGGCAGTATTAAGTTAAAATGTAAGGAGTGAAGAAGCCTGCCATCTGACAGACAGACCACACTAGTTAAACAAGCTCTAAAGAAAACTCAGAAAGCCCACAGCCTAATCTCCTCCAAGGAGGGCCACAGCAAAACCACTGCAAATAAACCTGCACTCCTCCTCTCACATGTGGCTTATAAAACCATCTTTTACTAAGGAAAAACTACGAGAACGTTTAGTAGAAGCATGCCAAACTACATCGCTAAAGCGCCACCTCCAAAACCCACAAGTATTACCTGCACATTTGGCCTGTTCCTCTTCGTGGCGCCTTCAAAGGCCAGGTAGGACAGCGACGCCTGCTCGCTCCCACCGACGTCCAGCTTAAACACGTCTCCCGCTTTGGCCGTCACTATTCCTATTACGTGGTCCCCCTTGACGGGCACGTACTGCAAAAGGGACCGGTGGACAAAGGGGTCAGACAAGCGCCGACCACAAGGCCTGGCTCCCTCCCGCCCCCCAGCCGGACTCCTCCGCGCCCCTACCCGCTTCTGCTGCGAGTCCACC